AGCATTCTGAAGGAAAAATCAGCAGGTCTTGCTGGTTAGCAGAGAGAGAAAAATTGAGATGGCCAGTGGTGTGGCTGGGAGGACAGTGGCCCTGCTGGAGGAAAACGGGATGCTGGGGAGTGGGTGAGAGAAGTCTGGCATTTGTTTTTTTTTTTTTTTTCCTTTTTGTCTTTTTTCATGACTGGCAACGGGATCGCAACCCTCGGTGTCGCACCCGCACCGCGCTCAACCAGTGAGCGGACCAGTCTCTATATGGGATCCGAACCCTCGGCAGGAGCACCGCCACACTCCCAAGTGCTGCACTCTACCGAGTGCGCCACCAGGCCGGCCCTGGCATTTGTTTTTGACACTGTTGGTCATTGTGGCCACACTCCCAAGTGCTGCACTCTACCGAGTGCGCCACCAGGCCGGCCCTGGCATTTGTTTTTGACACTGTTGGTCATTGTGTTAGTCTGGAGTCTCGTTACTAGAGACTGGTGGCCAACTCAAATGATTTAAGCTCCAAAAATATTTGCTGCTGCACACAATTGACAAGTCCTGGGTTAAAACTTCAGGTACATCTGGATGTGTAAGCTCAAGTGATATTATCAGAAGTCTTTTTCGAATTTTCACCTAAAGAGGGAACAGAAATGGCCACGAGCAGCTCCAGGCTCAAGTCCTACCAGCTGAGCACAGGTCCTGGAGTGCCTGTATTGGCCCAGATTGAGAAATATGTCCATTACCGACCTGATCACTGTGACTCTGATGGAACAGACTGAGGTCACGTGCACTCCCCTGGAGCCAGGGGGTGAGGTCAGCTGTACCCAAACCCACTTAAAGTGGAAGGAAATGGTTCTCTAAGGGAAAATTGGGGGCCAATCCACAAGAGAGACTGCAGCTGAGCAGCAGAAACAATCAATGTTTACTACTTTCCACTTCTTGGCTATCCAAGATCTACATAGACCCTCCCCCTTCCTGTATAATTTAAAAAATATTTCCCTGTTTGTTATACTACAACTATCCCTCACAAAACTTAAAACACAGTGTCCCATCTCTGGAAGGACACGTTCCAGGTTCTCACCCAGTTACCATATCCAGCCCCAATTCAGGACCTTGGCAAAGGGCTGTGCATTTGGTTAGGTACTAAACTAGCCCTTCATGGTCTCTGAATTTATGACCAGACTACAGTGACAGGGGAATAACTGGATAACTGAGAAAACAAAAACCCTCCTAGAAGAGGAAAGGCACCTGGTCTGTGGTCCACATGTTTAACTGAATGGCAAGGAAGAGGTTCCCTGGCCCACCAATCAGCTGCTCTGATCATGCCGTCTCCACCTTTCCTGTTCTGTGGCCACATGTGAGAGGGGAACAGAGGGGTGCAGGTTTGGGGGTCAACATGAGGGGCTGAGTAATCCTGGCCTTTGTTTTCCAGGTTTGCCTGTTTTTTCTGGCAATACAGTTCCCTTAATCATTAGGAGGCTTTTCAGTCTATTTGCATTCAGTCCTCCCTAGAGCTATTAACAAAAGCTAGAGACCTTGTTGAAAGTTATAATTCTTAAATGGAGTCCCTGGTGGTGGTGCTGGGCGAGGGGAGGGGCTATCTCTTAGCAACAGGCCTGGGAGCTCCACCCATCCAAGGAGCCTGTGTTTCTGTGGCCTCTAGCCAGGCATCTGCTACAGGCAATGCAAACCCCTAGTCTGGGGTGGGAGGCAGAGCTCATCTACCCCTTCCCACTCAAACTGCTTATAATGGAAGCTTCTGTTGAGCAAGGAGGTTTCAGCAGGAGGGGTTCAGGAGAGCCTGAGGAGTCAAGAGCCTGTCAGGCCAGGTCTCCCTCTGTGTTTCCAGCCTCCCTGTCTTTGCTTGAGCTGACTTTAGCTAGAAGCAGGGAACTGGCTCTTAATTATCTGAATCTTAGCCATATTGGATTCCTGGCCTCAGGCAGAAAGGGCCTCTCTGGGCAAGGCCACTTTCTTCTTCTCTGCTTTCAGATGGGCCCCTTTCAGCCAGAGTGTGTCTCTTGTTGGACCTTACTGAGGTTATAGGAAAGACACCCCTAACATCCTGACATTTTTCTACAGATCCCCTAAAGTTTCAACCCTGGTAGGCACATGGCCTGAGTTCCGAGCTCCAGAGTGGGAGACAGTTCAATCAGCTGCTTTGCGGCTGTGTAACAGGGTTCACCAACTTCTGAGTGGGGAATGGGGGAAGTGGTACTATCTTATGCTCCCTGCCCCGCTTAGTTCAGCTAATTCCTTCTTAGGGTTTATTACTTGAAAAAAAAAAATTCCATCTCTGATTCTTTTCTTTTTTTTCTTTTTTAAGAGATGACCAGTAAGGGGATCTTAACCCTTGACTTGGTGTGTGGTCAGCACCACGCTCTCCAAAGTGAGGTAACCAGCCATCCCTATATAGGATCCGATCCCTTGGCCTTGGTGTTATCAGCACCACACTATCCCACGTGAGCCACAGGCCGGCCCTCTGTCTCTGATTCTACTGTCTTGGTTAGGAATTTTTCCTGGTGCGGAAACAGAGACCCAGCTCTAACTGGTTTAGACAAAACTGGGATTGGCTCACATGATCAAACAGGCCAGGACCTCAAACAGTATCGTGAGGACTCTCTTTCTCCATCTCAGTTCTGCTTTTCTGGGTTGATTTCATTCCCAGGTGGTTCCTCCCAAAAGGAGACAAGGATGGCCCTAGCAGCTCTGGCCCTCCCATCATCTTAGAAACCTGAGCCCAAAGAGGATCCTTCCCCCCAATAGTTCCAGAACAGTCTTGGAACTCATTGACTCAACTTGGGAGCCCTGTGCCCATCCCAGGACTCTGACTGGCCAGGCCAATGTCACATCCCCCTGACCATTTGGACTGAGAAATAGGGGAATGAGGGTTTGTTCTCCAAAGTCAAAGCAGGGTGCTGTTACCAGGGGGGCGGGGGGGTGCTGGGCTGGCAAAGGGAACAGACATGCACCCGTACATCCATGTGGAAATGCCAGAAGGCAAACAGATCTCAGGAGCCCGTCAGGATGGAGAGGTAAATCTGAGAGTCAGTGGCTTAAAGGCAGGTGTGAATCTGTGGGAGTGAACCAGACTACCCGGAGTGGGGAGGATAGAATCAGAGAACACCCCAAAAAGAGACAGGGAGTTTAGGAAAGCAGTAATAACAGGAGGTCACAGTACCACAAGGAAAACCCAAACAGGGCAGCATCATGGCAGCCTATGAAGATGGAGAGGTCGACAGTATCAGCCTAGGGACCAAGTGGGTGAAGACCCTTGATGACAACTGGATTGCAGGTGGTCTGCAATGCCGAGGAGCGCAGTGACAACAGAGGGTGGTGGAAGTCCAATTGCAGGCAGTTAGGAAGAACTTGGCAGTGAGGAATGGGATGGAGATCACAAGGAAGGGGAGGGGTGACAGGAAGCCAGAGTTGGGGGTAGGCAGAAGGAGTAGAGGGTGAGAAGGGGTCAGATGCCATAATGGGCGAGACTTATGCAAGAAGGGGTGTAGGGAGGACAGATAATAGGGCCCTTGGGATGAAGGGTGGGGCAGGGACACTCACCAGAGTCTTACCTACCCTTTTCTAGAACTGCGAAAAGGACCTAAGTGCCTAGAGTAGCAGAGATGGGAGGGCGTGGTGCAGAAGTAGGCACTAGAACAAACAGTGACACACATGGTATCATTAGGTGGAGTGATGTCTCAGTCACTGAAACGTGGGACCATTAATCTAGTCTGTGTGATGGGTGTGGTTTGCATCAGATGAAAGTAAGCTTCTTTTTTAAGGATTTTTTTTTAGATGTAACATACACACAGTAAAGTGCATACAATGGACTAATCTTAAGTCTTCAGCTTGATGATTTACGTATGTGTACACTTGTGTAACCACCACTCAGATCAAGATGTAGAACATTTTCAGCTTCACATAAGGTTCCCTCCTGCCCCTTCCCAATCCATATAGCACCCAGGGGAACTCTTTCTGACTTCCGTCGTCATCAGTTTGGTCTGTTCTTGAAATCCCTTTCGATGGAGTCCTTCAGTAGGGTACTCTTAGGTCTGGCTTCTTTCATGCAACATAATATGAATGGACTCATCCATGTTGTGTGTACCAGTAGTTGCTTTTCTTATTGTTGGGCAGTATTCCATTATGAATATCATTTATCCATTCTACTGTCAATGGGCACTTGGGGTGTTTCCAGGTTGGAACCATTATAAATAAAACTACCTCCCCCCCTTAAAAAGAAATCTCATTCAATCTCACTCTCGCACAGGTACAGGCCCTCGCACAGGGACCAGCGCAGGCCGCCCCCTCTGGGAGGTCAGGCCATTGATCTCCCCTTGCCCCTCCATTCTGGGCACGTGTTCGATTTCCTGCTGGGAGGGGGATACGCGGCACGGGGGCTGGGAGGGGTGGGTGGGCACAGTCACACCATCCTAAGACTCGCTCCCTCTCTTCCAGCTTCCTCGCCCCGGGCCGCGGGCGCCCTGAACCTTCCTGACCCCGCAGGGGGGCTCGCCCGCAGCCCCCCATGAGCGCGCCCGGCTGACCGCGGGGCGG